AAAAAGATGTATAAAAATGTCTATATAATTAATTAATTGTCTTTAATGAATCAACACAATTTTCTTGCAAGTAAATTTAAAAGACATTGTTGTGATATACATGAAAAAAAGTGAAAAATAAATACTTTAAATATAAGAACTTTTTATAAATTTCTTTAAATACATTTAATTAATATTTCTTGTATATTGATTTAATTATTTTATTATTATTTTCAATATTTTAATTGATACGAATAATTAATTATGAACCATGTTTATCATCTACCTTAAAATTAATTCATCTTTAAATAGTTTTAAAATTTTATACATTTTGAAAAAAAATTAATTTTTAAAATACTTTAACATGAAACTTGACATAAAATATAACACTCATGTCAACTTCCCTTTTTTTTTTTTTTTTAAACAACTATAATTTTTGATAAATGACAAAAGAGAATAGAACCAAAAACCTTCAAGCCTTCACTAAATAAATGACAAGCAGGACCACTTCCACCCATCCCCTATGCCATGTTAAACTTCCTTTTCTTATTTATTGGTTATACTTTTAAAAAAATTATTAAGTAATATAATATAAACTATATACTTATAACTATTAATAAGAGTTCATAAAAAAAAATTATTAATTAGAGATGGTTTGATTCGGCAAATAGTGTCTTCTTCACTAAATCAAGGCGTACTCCAATTTTGTGATGATAGTGATGTCCCTCGAGAACGAGGTTGTTGTGAAATGTATTATAACTGATTGTGAACTAATTAAATGTGCATTTTAAAATTAATTTATTTTTAAATAAATTTAAAATTTTTAATTAATTTAAAAAATTAAATATTTTAAATATTTTAACATTAAATTTGACATAAAATATATATAGCACTCATATCATCTTTCTTTTCTTATTAAATGGTTATACTTTTTTTAAAAAATATTAAATAATATAATATAAACTGCTTAGTTATAATTATTGATAGGAGTTAAAAAAAAAAAAATATTAATAAGAGAGAGTCTGAATATGGTGCCTTCTTCACCCAAATCAAGGTGTACTCTATTTTTTAGGATTATAGTTATGCACCTGTGACCACTTTGTTCCGTTCCAAGTGAAGTATACTGCTCGAGTTTAAAGCTTAACGAAAAATATAAAATAAAAAATAGTTTGTTTAATTTATATTTTAAAAATATATGTTAAAATATAATAAATATATTTTTTTAACTAATTTATGTAAAAATAATAATAATAATTAATTTTTATTTTAATATTATTATTATATAAATAATTTTAATTAATTAATTAATTAAATTTAAATTAATTTTTATATTTTTTTAATTATAAAAAATATATTTATTATATCATTATATTATGCTTTTAGGATATATAATAAAAATTTTCAATAGAAAAAAGCTTGTTTGATGTTTATGGTTTAGAGGAATGCTAGGAGCACTCGCTCCAACACTCTCCTTTTGGCAGCCGCTCAACTATTTAGCCACGTTGCTAATGATTTTAATGCTTTAACGGGGAACCGGCAATTGTAAATAACTAGCTAAAAGACAAGAAAGCTAAACTGAAAACTAAAAGTAGGAATTATCAGAAATAAATTACTTTCACAAGTAAAATAATAATTTAAAAGAACCGATAAATTGGATGAAAATTT